GGGGTACGGGGACGCCCCCACCGAGGGCATCCGACGCGTCCTAGAGGAGGTGCGTCCCACGGGACCCCCCCGGGACACCCTCGAGAATCCCCCTGGGACACCCCGGGATCCCCGCGACAGCCCTCAGAGCCTATGGACTCCCCCGGGATGCCCTGGGACTCCCCGAGACCCCGTCATGATTACCCTGGGACACCCTGAGACCCTGCAGGGATCTCTGGGCCACCCTGGAACCCCCGCAGAAATCGTGAGACCTCGGGACACAATGCCAGGACCGCCCCTGCAACCACCTCCTTGGACCCCTTCCTCAGGACCCTCCCTCTGAGACTCTTTTTTGCCTCATGGGACCCTCCCCACATACCCACAAACTCTTCCCACTGGGAACTCCCCAAGACCCCCTGGGAATTTCCTAGGGACCCCTTGGGTCTGAGGGTACCTGGTGAAGTAGTGAGGCTGAGGGTCTGCGGTGGGACTGTGGGGCTGAGGGTCTGTGGTGATGCTGGGGGTCTGCAGTGGAGCTGTGGGTCTGGGGGCCCATGGTGGGTCTGGGGCCCGTGGTGAGCAGTGGCATGGGGTGCGGCAGGAGCGCGGGGTTGCGAGGCCACGGGCCCAGCCCCTGGACGCCTCTGGCATCGAGTGGATCCGCATGGGCACCACGGTGGCCACCAACGCCCTGCTGGAACGCCAGGGCGAGCGCCTGGCGCTGCCGGGCACCCGCGGCCCTCCACATCGGCAGCCAGGCCCGGCCACACATCTTTGACCTGGTGAGGCCCAGCACCATCGCGGCGTGGGGTTGGGCTGGCGTGTCTCTCTGCCCCTCATTGTTGGGCTTAGAGTGCCGTGTCCCTGTGTCCCCTCCTCTCCGGGCATGGGGAGCCCACCCCCATGGCCCACACCGCCTGGAGCCAGGCTGGCACATCCTCGTGACCAGCACTGTCCAGCCTTGGCACAACGTGTCTCCATGCCACCCGTGCTGCCACTGCTGGGGCTGGCACATCCCCGTGACCAGCCA